ATAGATACGTGTAAACAGCGCCAACTAAAATGCGTATTTACTCAAGTCACCATAATTAAAAAAACAAAAATGTAGTCATTAGAATCCATAATATTGTCGCTTATCGTCTCTTGTGTCTGTCAGAGGTTTGTTGAAGGAAAACGATGTTTCGTTTGAAAAATTGGTAAGGTTCACAGATGGTTCAATGATTTTAAAGTGGCTCTACCAACTTTAGTGCAAGCATAAATTCTTCGAAAATTCTACCTAAATCAAGTTGACCGTTAATATGCAATGACATCGGGACTGGATGTGCATACGACCACTTTCGATTGCATGGCTTCAGTGCATGCAGTTTTTAATGCTCGATCTCGCGGACTGCACGTAAATGGTTTTGCATTATTAAATTATTTCTTCGATCGAATCACCAAACTTTCCTCAGAACAGTCAATTAATCAATCGCAGTAAATTAATCTAGTAAAACCGTTTTAAATCAACTAGCCATCCTTGATGCATCTGATGTAGGCATGGCTTCTCAACCAAACATCTGCTGCTTGGAGCAGGGCAATTAGGCCCAGACTAAAGGTGGGGCCTGTTTTGTTCAGATAATTTTTATTAAATGGTTATCTGTTTATCCACTACACCCAAGGTTTGGCTTACAGCTGATGAAGAGTGGAGAGCTAATGTTTATTACTTGAGGAGTATGAGGGCCTCTGCAAACTACGGCATTTGCTGATGCATGGGATTTGCAAGAGACTACATTGCCAGTCAATTTGATGAAACTGGAGTTTAGTATTGAGAAGCCTCTAGCCTAACATTGCTTTAAAACATGGTTCAGTATGACACAAATGGCACTGGAGCTGCTTCCTCTACAATCCAAGATTACCTCCTTCTTCCTTGTAGTTTACATATTTTTGAGTTAAAGTACATTGTTTTACACTGCGTTTAAAGCGTCCTCAATCGTCTCAATCCTCGCAGTAAGCAAAACTATGAAAACTTCACTTACGATCACCAAGTTGAGTTGGTCTACTGCAGCTTTATACTGTAACCATCAACTCTTTCACTGCAGAGAAGTCGTGTCTTTGAACATATTCTGGATGTATCCCTCGTTATATTCATACTTTCGCCGCCCGACAAGCCTGCATTTGACCTTTGGTGGGTGTGAAAAGGGTGACTATGGCGGAAAACTCAAGTGTTCCGGCATATCACTCATAGTCCCTTTGAAATGGAGCGTAATAAAGTTGAAAAACCTCGCTTTCAGCAGCCGAGGAGAGAGTTTTACGATCGCTAAAGACAAACGAGGCATATTTGATTGCATTTTGTTCGGAATGAGAGTCGCTGTTGAACATTACTATTTTGAATATATTTGAGGCATTAAATTTATTGAAGCACGAATGAAAATGCTTTGCAGAACCTGTCCCAACCCTTAAATGTTGCCATTTTTCCATCCTGAACTAGAACAGCTGTTGCATTTCTCACTCAAACCGGTTGCGCTTATTTCATAATGCTTTCTCAAACCGACAAGACCGACCAACACCGCGGATGCATTAAAGAAAATAGAACTCAGGGTAGCCAATTTCTTCGGGAACTGAGGAAGTATTTTTGAACCAAAGCGGAAGAGACGGTTTAACCATTTGGGGCAAAATGTTTGGTGCCTTCTCTTCAAGCAAATGCGAAAATGAGTTTTAGCCCAAAAAAGCAAAAAAAGCCTAGTTTGTAATAGTGGCACCATTAGGGTGTATCAATTTGGTTATCGTCTCCATGTTTAATGTTTCCACATAAAAATCATGGCACATCTGCGTTTATAGAAGTCACTTACAGTCACTTATCTGATCGAGCACCTTCAACATTTCAACAATTCAACACTTACTTTTGC